TGGGACTTTTTAAAATAGGTTTTCTCAATAAAAGTTGTTGCGATACTTTTAGCTATTTTTATTTTCTCACATACTGGATGACTTATTTATGTGTACCTGCATCTGAATGAAGAAAAAATGAAACGAATACAGAAGTTAATTATCACGCAATCAATAATGGTACGTTCGTCTTCAATAGAGATCACTTGAAATTCATAAAACCAATCGAATAGTCTTGCAAAAATGTTATATGAAAACCAATGATTTACTCAAAATAATTCATAAATAACAATATATACTCTGTCAAATTGTATTCATAAATTAAAATCATATCACTCTAGCTATTTGGACATCAGATAAATTGTACTCTTTCATAAAAGTAAAGATTAGTATAGTTCAATATAACTATATAATAAATTAAATAAGATTACTTCCTATATTCTTCGTTCACGTGTGGTCAATAACTTGTATATATGATAGTAGATGACAAAATAAATATATAGAGATACATTGATATCATATACAATCCTTTTGAAAACTATATAGTATAAGAGAAAATCACCATGTTTGCTCACAAATTGAATCAAAGACATAGAACTAAAGTATTATTGTGAAGATAATGAGCGGTTGTTTTAACCAACAAACGAAATATTTTCGCTATAGTCTTTGTACAAGCAATGTTTCGGATCATCTAATGTATAAACATTTGCCTTGAACAATATATGTGCTCTTTTCGTTAAGACATCTAATCGAACATTGATATAGATGATTGAGAGAAGAAAAGCATAATATATTGATTTTGAACATTTCAAATATGATTTTTATTCATTATCTATTTCAATAGAACCCAATAAATATTTTTGAATAATAAATAAGGCTTCAAATATTCAGTTTTCAAATAAATATTTCTCTCAAAATAATAATCAAATATGATTATGTATAAGGATCTTGTTTTTATTTAGAAAGATTTTATAAATTAGTAGTTATTTCTGGATTAAACTAAGGTATCATCATCATCATCATCATCAACATAAGCAATATGATAAAAACTTTTTTCTTTCGCTACCGGCTAGACATATAATATATGTACAAGCTGATACATTTGTATACATGTCAAACAGAACGATACAAATGATAAAACAAAAAAAAAAAAAGGTCAATCCGAGAGAGAGACAGAGAGAATTAAAGATCCTTGCTGTTTCTGTTTTAAAATTTGTTTTAATAGTCTTTGTTTGATACTTAAGAGTACGTCTCTGAGAAAATTAGTACGTTTTACTCAACTTTTTATGCTCTTTCGAATGATGTAATTTTTATTGAATCGGCATGAGATAGAAAATTTCCTCTATTTAACGCAAACGGAATTTTGCTTTCAAGTTTTAACAAGAAGTGATGATGAAATTTTGGTTTCACAACAATTATTCAGAATTTTAAAGTCATTTAAAAGATAGGTATTTTAATGAACTATATACTTACCAAACTCTCAATGTTGATGATGACTATGATGCAAATGAATACTTAAACATTCAATATTATTTTACATTATGCGAGATGGAAAATATATAGGAATGAGTTGATCAACATTCAAATTTATACATTTTCAGCAATTAAGCATAGATTTCAAAAAGTCAAATTGATGAATTATTTTACAAGATTTAACCCTTTGAGTATCGGATTATTTTTATATAATTAAAATTTTTATAATTTCAAACTAACATTTATTTCGCAAAAACTATCACAAAGTACATGAATCAAAATGCTTGTAGAGTGTGATAGTCTTTAAAACAATCCATAAGACACAATCCTACATCACATTCAATGCATTCATACGAAGTATCTCTTCTTGATCTCGCTCTTCTCACAATATTGACACAAACATAATATTTTCTTCTTGAATCTAGTTGAGTCTCTGTTGATTCAATGCGCAAAGGAAAATGTTATCAAATGTAGTCAATTGATCAGAACCTTTACTATAGATAACACTTTTGATTGACTGTGTTCATATGAAAAATCCTGCTGATAACGATTATTCTTTCTTGAGAAATGTTGTCTAATGACTTATGTTCTAATTCATTGAATCACATAGTGGTCGATAGAAATATTAGGGAACAACCAATATTCATCACTAGGCACAGATAGTCTTAACCGTACAAATATTCTAAACGCAAATATTCATGTAATTCATATCATAAAATAATCAAACAATCATGTTTTCTAAAGTTATTCAGACCCTAAACTATCAGGACACGAATTCACATCGCCAGTACTCAAAGGGTTAAACGGGATATAATGACCTATAAAAGAATATTTTATCTGCACAGTGCAATGAGGGCAAAAAAAAATGTGACTACGTGTATAATGCACTTTTGGCGAACATTCAAGTGACTGTTCATTGCTCTCGATTAATTTGTATGAACGACGGAGAATAGAGTTAGCAAAAAGGACGGTAATATTTGTATGAAACAAATGCAATATATGAAAAATATTTCATGCTCTAGTAATCGGCCGGCATATAGACAATCATACACTAAAGTCAAATTTATCTCTCGATGTATGATCTAGGCAATTATGCAGAGAAATCAAATTTACCTTTCGGTGTATATATACGCAACGTATTGCTTTATTCTCACTCATAAAACAACATCGATACATTAAGCTATTATTCTGGTGTTGGAAGCACGAGATATTACACAAATTCAACGAGTAAGTGGAATCTGTCCAGAAAGCCTTTATGTTTATGAGAAGCGAGCAAATTTTTACGTCGCTCAAGTAGAATCATTTCTCCTCTATAGTGTGATGTTCGTATCATTGAGGTTTTTTTTTCTGAAGGAAAAACTTTTCGAAATTCTGTACGAAATGAACCACAGAGATTAGCTACTACGAAGCCATTCTCTTCAAAAAACGTCTGTAAACTGGACGAACAAACCAGTTTCTGAGTGACAACGTATAAATGTAATAAGTCAGTATTATATCCTTCTTTCATTCGAAAAGATTTAATGTCGATGAAAATCAAATACGATACAGTGTGGTGAACGAGGACTCCAGAATATTGTCGTGGATGAGTTATCATTTGCCACAAATTCTGATTCCCAAAGCCAATCATTAATTAATTTTACATTTGTAGTTAAGTAAACACTTAATCGATTCTGATGACGAAATATGGATATCAATTTAGGCTTCTTTTTTTATTTGAGGATCTTTTTATTATAAGATAAATTATACTTAGCGTAATTCAATACCATTCTACGTTTCTTATCATACTGTATCGATCTGGTGACGAGATAACGATGTAAAACACATCCAATGCGATGATACACATAGTAAATATACTACTATATCTATAGTTTAGAAGATATGATTCTTCTCCAGATCAAAGATACCGAGGCATCCACATTCTTTGATGCCCTCATTCTCACTCTTTCCTATACGGCGTCAGTTAGTTTGGTTAATGTATAGGCTTTCATTGATCTGGATTAGGGGTGTGAGTCCATATTTACTTTCAATCAAATTTATGCACAAATTAAATTATCAATAATTTAAATTTATTTCAAATTTAAATTGTAGGTAATTTAATCGATTTTAAATATTATTTATACAAAATATAAATTATTTGAACTTGATTTATAATTTATTAAATTATAAATTAAATCAAATTAATCTATTTCCTTTTCATATTTCATCATGCTCAGACACAGAACGAAAAAAAAACGCATAAAAATGCGTTGAAATTAAAATAAAGATAAAATCGTAAAAAAGCGTACATGCAAATGCGTTCATAATGTCTTAAATTTTTGATTGAATATATATTCATTCGGAAGCTTTAACGAGTTGCAAGAACGCACAAATGTACACTCTTTACGATTTCATTTTCGAGAAAATTCGACGCATTTTGACGCGAGTTTCTTTGTTGTTGATATGACTTCGATGAAATATGAAAAAGAATCAGATTGATTTAATTGAATTCAATTTATAATTTAACAAATTATAAATCAAGTGCAAATAATTTAAATTTAAAATAAGGTAAAATTTTCTATAATTTATATTTAAAATAAATATGAGTTGTCTAATTCGAATTAGAATATAAATGAATATTCAACTGTTTGGTAGTGCCTCGAAAATTAATGAAATAACCTGAATTATAGCTTTAGCATACAATATGAATAAATGGCAGTAGATTTGATTTTATTCATTTGTAGTGATAATTCATATGTATATACCTACTCCTATAAGAATAGGAACAGATTTAGTTTTATTTATCCATAGTTATAATTTATATATATATTCATATGTAGACTTCTCCTGTAAGTGTAGGCATAGATAGGAATAAATTTGACTTTAGTTTCCATATTTATAATTTATACATATATATATAGCTACCCATTAATTCAATACCTCAGTTTCTTTCTATCTATTGTAAATTTGTACTAAATAATCTTGTTTCGAGATTTTATGAGGAACAATTGTCGAATTTCTTAATGAAATATGCGGCCAACCTTTGCTTCCTGACAGAAAGTGCTTTTCAAAAGGATTTTCCTCAAAACGATTATACTCAATGTCACACTTTACAACTACTATCATATGACACTCATCAATAGGATTTGCTTTCCACCACTTCATGTTCAATTAGTAGTTTCAACAACGTCTAAAATATCATGATAGATTTTGCAAGTGTTTGTGTAAACGAACCTTGTGTGAGATAAGCTAGAGCCTTGATGCGTCACATGACATAATAAAAGTCTGTATGACCATCTGTTCTCTTGACCATTGCTTATCCTTATAACAGCTAATTGAGAAAGACTATTCGAAAGATAACTGAGATTCCTTTTTTTTTCATATCATACAGCGTAAGTCAAATCATTATGTGCTTCTCAAGTGAAATAGCAAATTTGAACTTTGCCTGTGCAAAGTATCATGACCAAGCGAAACGTATAATATCGATATAAATGTACATAACTTCTTCATTTCTAGCAAATCGTATTTCGTCGATAAGCAAAAGAGTATTATTATTATTACAAATAACAGTAATGAAAGTAATCATTGCACTTTGTGTTCTCTTCATTGGGGCTTATTGTGTACCAGTAACTGATGAACAACCCGAAAATGACTGGGCTTCATTCAAACGTGTTTATAAAAAACAATACAAATCTACCAAAGAAGATGCTGATCGGTATGTTAATCAACAATTCAACTTTTTATCATTTACAAGATTGTCTTCATTCTCTTTTTATTTCTAGTGAAAACATTTGGAAAGTTAACCGCGCTATAATCGAAGAACATAATCGTAAAGCTAGCTTAGGGCAGTACACTTTTACTTTAGGAATGAACAAATTCGGTGATCTGGTAACATATTTCTTCTTCATATCATGAAATATCATACTATACAAAGTTCACTTATTTAGACTCTTGAAGAATTTACAAAAAAAATGAATGGATTCAAAATGTCAACTAAAACTGACACATCACAATCCGTTCATCAGACATTCGTAGCTCCAACAAGTTTGACCCTTACAAATACTGTTGGTATGTTTTTCTTTCATTGATTTCTTTTGAAATACATAAACTATTATCATAAAATGTTTTTGTATAGATTGGAGCCCACAAGGTTGTGTAGCACCAGTTAAAGATCAAGGACAATGTGGATCATGCTGGGCTTTCTCAGCTATTGGTTCACTTGAAAGTCAAAAATGTATAAAAACTGGCAATCTTGTTAGACTTTCTGAACAAAACTTGGTTGATTGTTCAGACGCATATGGTAACCAGGGTTGTAATGGTGGTTGGATGAATAGTGCTTTTCAATACATCATAGATAACAATGGTGTTGACACTGAAGCTAGTTATCCATATACAGCAACGGATAATGGTCCATGCTCGTTCCAAGCATCAAATGTTGGTGCCACTGTGACTGTAAGTATTATTTATTTTTTCTACAACACTTTGATGTAGTAGAAAGTGAATGTTTGTTTTTGTGTAGGGTTTTGTTAATATCAAACCGGGGAGCGAAGCTGATCTTCAAGCTGCTATTGCCACGATTGGTCCAATTTCAGTTGCTATTAATGCTGGACTTTCTTCATTTCATTTCTATAAATCAGGTGTTTACAATGATCCAAGGTGCAAATCAACACCGTTAAATCATGCTGTTTTAGCTTTTGGTTTTAACAAGACAGCTTCACAACCATATTACATTGTCAAAAATTCGTGGGGAACATCATGGGGTAAAAACGGCCACATCTGGATGACACTTGGCACGAAAAATCAATGTGGTATTGCATCAGCAGCAAGTTACCCTCTTGTTTAAATCGACGAATACTCATCAGAAAAAATAAACTGTACAACTTCTAATATTTAATCTCTAACATTTCTCTACTTTGTTATTTCAACATATATAGTATTAATAAATTGTAATAGAACTTTAGTTTGATATAGATGATATTGTAGAAAATACAGAGAAGGAAAGCATTGGCGCTTGGAAATATACCGGTAGCCTCTAATCTATAGGCTAAATCAGAATGCACATTGTAATCCATACTTGATGTTATTTTCAGCATTTTGTTAGCTTTATCTGTGATAGATATTTAAAACAACAACCTGCGACTCGGCAAGTGTGATTTTGACAACATCAAACATAATTTAAAGATTTTTTATTTTTACTTTCGAAAAATTAAAAAAAATCAGTATTTCTCTCCGACTTATTGGATAATTCCACTCAGAAGAATGAATTTCTCGCGACATATTTTGCTCTCATAGTACGGACCGATAGAATTGAAGTGAACTGTCCTATAATATTGATCTTCATACACATATTAATTGATTAGTGCAGAGATGTGCAACTACGAATGCAACTTGTAACGAACAAGCCCCTTGGAATTCAACTAACCCCTTCCAACCGGTCTATAAATCAATACGGTACCAAAGATACCCCCAAAAAAACATTGGAACTATAGAATTTGTAACACCATATAACGGCATGTAATGCCTTGTAACGGGCCCATATATCGACGTACCGACATATATATCCTCAAAAAATCTAGAATTCTAGAACTGGTAACGGTATGGAACAGCTTGTAACGGGTTCACCACATATCGACATAATAACATAAAGTACTGCCCAAAAATATAAGTACAAGCAGATTTTTTTCTGCTTTCTTCTTTCTTGCTTGGGTTGATATATCGATCAACACATACGCATTCAACTATGGTCTATACAAATATCAATTCAGAATTTTTCTTCAATTTATTTATTTTCATGAAAAAATACCTACACAAAAACAACATGTTTTTTTTTGACCTTATCAATAGAAGAAGAACAAATAAATGTTTTAATAATCTCTTACACATCATGGACGATGGTCAAGAAGACGAAGGTGAAGAATCACGCACCCACATTTTTTTTATTTTATTAACTATTTTTCGGTTGACTAACGCTTACACTTGACAGCGTTTATTTCACATCTTTTTTTGTCAAGAAAATGGATCGCAATAAACTCACAATATATAGAAAAACGAATTAAAGTTCTCGCACTTTTACAATCTAGTTTAATATATCCAAATATTCGAAATAAACTAGGTATTTCGAACGGTTGCATCAGCAACATTGCAAAACAGAACAAACTAAATTTATCATTGAAAAATCGTCCTGATCAAGGTAGGAAGAAATTGGCCACTCTCAACGAAGATCGTCATTTAATCAAGTTAATGAAAAAATGATCTTTGACAAACTAGTCGTCAATTAGCGTCTGAATGGAGTTTATCAAATGGAAAGTGTATTAGTGCTCGAACAGTTCGTCGACGCTTATTTAACGCTGGTTACAAGAGTTATACAACTAAACAAAAACTATATCGAAAACCTCATCATCGTTGTACTCGGTTAAAATTTGGTCGTAATCATTATCGATGGACTTTCAATGAATGGAAAAATGCTATTATTCAGTTGGTAAGAAATTTTTGTCAATTTCTTTCGTAACTTCTTAGAACAGTCAAGAAAGTTCTAGAAGTTTCCATACTAAGGGTACATAAAGGATGTGTAAATATCTTTTGAACAACAATAAAACTATGGATATACATGCTAATCTCGAATTAGAAATGAAGATATCTTATGGAGAGCTCCGAGTGCTTCTGCTTCATGAATTACGTCTGGGTCGCAAAACAACAGAAGCAACAAGCAACATATGCCATACGATGGGCAAGGATGCGCTCTTCATTCGTACAGCGCAACGTTGGTTCAATCAGTTCAAGAACGGTAACTTCGAACTCTATGATTTACATCATACTGGAAGACCACTAGATGTGGATGTGAATCTCTTAAAGGATCTTATCGAAGGAGATCCTAGATTGACTACACGGTGTTTAGCAGAGCATCTTGGGTGCTCTCATATTACAGTGGAGATACATCTGCACGAATTAGACAAAACATGGAAATATGGAGTTTGGATACCACATGATTTGTCACTACATCAGCTCTAATACAGAGTTGATGCTTGTATGGAATTAATGACGTCTCATCGCAACTGCCAATGTCTTTACAATCTTATTACCGGCGATGAAAAGTGGGTGTTGTATGTTAGCCACCCGCGCAAGGGGCAGTGGCTGGGAGCTAGACAAAAAGGTGTAGCAACACCTAAAGATGACCTTAACCAAAAGAAGATTATGTTGAGCGTTTGGTGGGGAGTAAGAGGGATTATTCATTGAAAACTTCTTCCAACTAATTGCACTATCACTGCTGATCTCTATTATTAGCAATTAGACCGGGTTGCAACAAAACTTCAGGGGAAGCAAGATAGAATTTATTTTTTGCACGACAATGCCAAACGCCATATTGCAAAATCGACGCGTAAAAATTTTTGAAGCTCGGATAAGTTACGGTTCCACATCCATCTTATTCTCCAGACTTGGTTCCTACGGACTACCATTTGTTCCGTTCTCTTTCTAACCATTTGAAGAAGAAAAGGTTCGACGACGAAAACGATCTGGAAATGGACCTCCTCAACTTCTTTGGCCAAAAGTCGGAGGACTTCTACGAACGCGGGATCCTTTCTCTACTAGAGCGTTAGCGCCAAGTCATAGATAGTAATGGAGCATACATTGTTGAAAGCTAGTTATATTCTTGATATTAAAAAATAAAAATAAAATTTTCGAATAAAAACGACAAAAATTTCTTACCAACCCAATATTATATTATCATATGATATGATATTTGGAGGTGCATATCACTCTGAACAAACTCAGAACAGCTTGAAGTCAGTACCAAATGATGTAGTTTTTAATTTTGCATCGAATGATATATAAAACTTTGAAAAATTAGGAATGGATAAATTCGACGTCTTATCCGGCCCTCTCCTTTGCTTGATTGGTCGTTGACCAATCAGTGAGTTCGTGATGGAGATTTTCGAACACGATATTCTGAAGCTATTTCTTTTCGATTTAGGCCTTTAATGGGACTAATCAACAGAAAAAATTCTTCTCTTTTGATCTACACAAGGTCAACATTGCTAATTTGTTCCGTTCGAGAGTTATAAGACTTTTCCTGAGACCCCGATGTGAGTTAATTGATCTATGATCACCCGAAAAAGCAACTAGACAGAGTTAATTTACCATGTTGAGTCGAATGGTGATGTTTGGTTTTAGATTCGAAATAATCTGACACTGTTATCTCAATATTTTTGAAATATCGGCTCCTTCGTTCCTTTGAGACTGATTGCGAAATTTTCGAAATATTGGGATAACAGAGTCAGATTATGTCGAATCTACAATCAAATATTATTTGTCTCAGCACGTTGAATTAACCCTATCTAACTGCTTTTACGAGTGATCACAGGTCAATTACATGAAATCATGTGATTTCAGGAAAAGTCTTTTAGCTTTGAAAAGAAATAAGTTAAGAATGTGCGATATTTCTTTAGTCTCATTAATAATACGCTGAAACAAATATCTCTCATCGAGACTTCTCTAAAAATTAAATATTCTTTAGAAATTATTTTTATTACTAAAAAGAAAAAAATTGTCACACAAGATAAC